CTATTTTTATTATCATAATTTTTATTTTTTCTTGCATTGTATCCACAGGGTGAGTCAAATGACTCAGGATACTCTTTTATTTTAGAAACAAAAAGGGGAGCTAACTCTCAATTGCTGTTCCGAGAGGACTGTATCAGTAACTATTGGATGATTTGTTAATACACACTAAATAATCATTTTCATTTGTACTGARTGATATGGTGCAGTTATTGCCACAACCAGACAACAAAATACTAAATAAAAAATATAATTAAACCTTATAAATTGTCAGCATGTTAGGTGAAAATTAGCATMGCTGTTGTTAGCATTTTAGCTGAAATTTAACCCCTTGTCAAGTCAAATATCTCATTTTGGGGATATACTATATAGGTCAAATACACATTTATGGAGTTATCTGTATAAGGGGGAAGCAAACAATAACATACAAACCAGGAGGGAATTAAATCCCTGATTCATTCATCTTCCACAAAAAACTAAATCTATCATCAGTGAGTTTTATTATTTCTAATTAGTTTTTAACATTTGGAAAGGTCTAATCAAAACACACACATCACYAACAAGAACCCATTTATAACATAATTTGTGGCACAAAGATGTGTGATTAGAAAAAATAATGAGTAAGAATTAAAAATGACTGAGAGGTGGAGGAGCACAAAAGAACTCTTTTTGCACCCAAACTTGTTAATTATTGACCAAGACGTTTGCTGCTCTTCTACTGCACCTTCTCTTTTCCATCTCCTGTTGTTCTGTATGTCAAATAATCAGGCAGAACATTATTTATCTGCCTTTGCGTGGGTGCTCCGTATTTGCTTTTGCACTGTTATCACCAAGCTCTAGCCCAGTTTTTGTTAGAGGTATAATTACATAATATCAGTTTAATGGAGGTAATATTGACCTAATTACATGGTTTTTACAGACCTTGTTTTGATTTTCCATTGGCAGTTCATTGACTTTTATGTGAAATCGAGCAAAATGGCACCTTCCCTCAGGCTTGTGTCGAGGACTCAAATTGGTTCTTTGTGCATTTGAATGTAAATACTGTAAAACAACAAAAAAGAACCGATTGTTGTACCTTTTTCTCTGAATAGTTTCACAATCCAGCTTCCATGGAGGAGTGGCCACATTTGAACCAGGAGAACAAGCTTAAATTGTTTTATGATTTTTTTTTACCCTTTGTCACACAAAAAGTCTTGCTGCCCTTTATYACATTACCTGCTTCACTTTCACAGCTACTTCAAGGTCTAAAATTTATATTTGAAGGTTTTTCTTCTAGAGAATATTTTGTTGTAAACTTCATAAAGAAAAATTCTGCCTTTCGGCTACACCAAACAAGAGGATAACAATAGAAAAATGGGTACTGCCCTACAGTAAGAGCACCTTTATCAAAGAWAATAAAATAACTGGCCTGCCTTTTGATGTGGGATTTTTTAACGTTTTGCCTACAACCATACCAAACTTCAGCTCAGTATGGCTTAAAGTGGCTGAGTTATAGTCCTATTAGTTATGGCGTCCAGCTTGGATTCTTTAATTGGAATTCATTATTTGTTCTGTAATTTGGGATCAATAGTGTCTGTTTATCTATCTATCTATCTATCTATCTATCTATCTATCTATCTATCTATCTATCTATCTATCTATCT